GGAGACACTGACAGAGTTTGTTATTCCTGTCAAATTGGGGCTATTATAGATGATTAGACACACAACTTGGAGACACTGACAGAGTTTGTTATTCCTGTCAAATTTGGGCCATTATAGTTGATTAGACACACAACTTGGAGACACTGACAGAGTTTGTTATTCCTGTCAAATTTGGACCATTATAGATGATTAAACACACAACTTGGAGACACTGACATAGTTTGTTATTCCTGTCAAATTTGGGCCATTATAATCTTTTCTGCACTTTCAATAGTCCCGTGTTGATAATGGGATCAGGTTTTTGTACATATATATCTGTTCAATGTGTAATAACCTGTATGGGGTTTTATATATTTATGTCTGTTCAATGTGTAATAACTTGTATGGGTTTTTGTATATTTATGTCCGTTCAATGTGTAATAACTTGTATGGGTTTTTGTATATTTATGTCTGTTCAATGTGTAATAACTTGTATGGGTTTTTGTATATTTATGTCAGTTCAATGTGTAATAACTTGTATGGGTTTTTTGTATATTTATGTCTGTTCAATGTGTAATAACTTGTATGGGTTTTTTGTATATTTATGTCTGTTCAATGTGTAATAACTTGTATGGGTTTTTTGTATATTTATGTCTGTTCAATGTGTAATAACTTGTATGTATTAGGAAAAATAAAAATGCTTAACAACAAGGAATAAATATTTTGTCGTTATTTTATTTTTTCACTTGGTGGGTTTTGCGCTGTTTATAATTAAAACGACTGTCGTTATTTTATTTTTTCACTCGGTGGGTTTTGTGCTGTTTATAATTAAAACGACTGTCGTTATTTTATTTTTTCACTCGGTGGGTTTTGTGCTGTTTAAATTAAAACGACATAAATCTTTGTTTTCGAATACACACACTCAGAACATTGTTTTTGTTTTCATAATTTTACAATTACTTTTTGAAAGAATTATTACTAAAACCATCTCCCCCACCCCGATCTGCTTGAGAATTAACGTTAAAACCCGGAGGCTCCATTCTCTGTGGTGAACACAGCAAATAGCCTACTGTATAGCTTTGCGTTAAAACAAACCACATAAACTAAAACTATCAACAATTCAAACCTTATTTGTATATAGCATTTCGGTAAATACTATATATATATACCGTTTTTCAAGTAACTAAACAGAATAAAAAATAATGTACCACCACCAACCGCGAAGGGTTCACAGCTAATAGCTGCCTAGATTTATAAGTCAGTATGCACGTAGCTTTTAATATCAATCTTAGCACTTAGCTCTCTCACTCTGTATTCAGCACGGAGATGGAAGAGAGTAACTTTAACCCACGTGATTTCTTGGAATCATAAAACTCAATGTAGAGGTGTTGTTTGTATAACAAACACAAGGTCGACAACTGTAAATGAAGTCTGAATGTAAGACAAGGCTGACAGTAACCATATAGAGAGAGAAAAGAAATTTACACATACAGGATGCGTTTAGTGACATCATTCTACTGACGTAAAAGGTGACAGTGGGCGACTGTGTATGTTCGTTTTTAATGTAAGACTAGGATAACAAAATGTTGTTATGTAGATGTGTTGTTTCAGATATCACACAAGGGGGACAGTGTGTAACTAAAAGATGTAACTGTAAGCCTAAACTGACAGTGGGCGACTAAGTATGTTCGTTTTTAATGTAAGACTAGGATAACAAAATGTTGTTATGTAGATGTGTTGTTTCAGATATCACACAAGGGGGACAGTGTGTAACTAAAAGATGTAACTGTAAGCCTAAACTGACAGTGGGTTATTACGTAGATTTATTATTATTAATATATCGGGCCCGGCATGGCCAGGTGGTTAGGGCGATCGACTCGCAACCTGCGGGTCGCGGGTTCGAATCCCCATCACACCAAACATGCTCGCCCCTTTCAGCCGTGGGGCGTTATAATGTGTCGGCCAATCCCACTATTCGTTAGTAAAAGAGTAGCCCAAGAGTTGGTGGTGGGTGGTGATGACTAGTTGCCTTCCTTCTAGTCTATCATTGCTAAATTAGGGACGGCTAGCGAAGATTGCCCTCATGTAGCTTTGCGCGAAATTAAAAAACAACAAACAATTAATATATCAAAGTTGACAGCGAATAACTAAGTTTATTTGCTATAAGTAAAAACTAAGATTGTCAGGAAAATAACTATATATATATAATTGCTATAAACATACGTCAAGGTTAGAGTGAGTATATATATGTATAATCCGAAGTTAACCGGAAACAACTTGGTAAATCTGTTCTAGTAAAAGCAAGTTTGATGATGAGAAAAAACTATAAGTATATAGATGCTCGATATAAACATACGTTGAGATTAAGACTAGGAAAGTATTTAGTAGGAAAAAAAAACACCAAAATAAGATAATCACAAGTAACTTAGTAAAGCTCTTTAAACTACAAGCTTGCTAGATACCATCCGTATATGACATGCCCCATATACTGATACCATCCGTATATGACATGCCTCATATACTATGTATATATTTAAATTGCAAGTCTTTGTTTGGGTGGCTTGGCTGAATTTTAGTAGGAAGGTTTCAAAAAAGAAAGTAACTGTGCTTAGAGAACCAGAGATGTGACGATGTATATTGCTTTCCTTGGATGAACTTGTCATGAACACAAACCATTCAAGTTGTATGTTATGTATAGACATTCCTTTAAGTCTCCGGTTTCGCCGTGTCTTGGCATTCAGACACTGTGTCGAACACTGCTGCCTGAATTGAGGAACCTTATCTAACCTGCCCTCTTCATGTCTCTTGTCTTAAAACTTGCATGAGGAGACAGCTGGAAAAGGAATAGTGAGGCGTGGTTTCTCTATGAAAAACACCCGTCTAATATCTTATGATGTGGTATCACGTGGTTTTCTACACGAAAACCTCTTCGATTTGATGAAAGTAGTCGCCAAGTTTTGTGTCAAACTGCTGTTTCTCTAAGAAGTAAATTAACTTGTCTGTTGAAGAATTGGTTAATATTGGTATTACGTTTTAAACAAGTCGGTCAATATTATAGTTGTTGTTCTCTAAACCCCAATTTGGCCCAGGAGAATCGAAGACCTGTAGCGTCAGCTGCTCTCAAGACAGTACTGACAGTTAAAAACCACAATGATATATTTATTTATACAGTTTTATTAAGGGATATTTTTATTATCAGTAGATTTTGGAGTGAGTCCAAAATAATAAGACAAAAACAATAAATCAACCCTCAAATTACCGATTTTATTCCATTCACAACAGTGGCAGAGCGATATTTTTATTATCAGTAGATTTTGGAGTGAGTCCAAAATAATTACTGCACGAATAAGACAAAAACAATAAATCAACCCTCAAATTACCGATTTTATTCCATTCACAACAGTGGCAGAGCGATATGTCTGCGGACTTACAATGCTAGAAACCGGGTTTCGATACCAGTGGTAAGCAGAGCATAGATAGCCCTTTGTGTTGAACGTCAAACAAACACAACAGAGGGGGTCACATAATGAGTAACTTTATGTTTTTGGCTGTTACAACATTAAGCCAAGAAAACTGACCAAAACATTTGGTGAAATAATTCAGAACATGTACAGGGAATCTCTACAGTAATTCATCACATTATTAACGCCCTCCACGGCTGAAAGGACGAGCATGTTTGGTGAAGGGATTCGAACCCGCAGGCTACGAGTGGAGCACCATAACCATCATTAACTTAAGTCAAACATAAAACATTTGGACAAACGTATCTTCGATATTATTAAAATTAACTAATTAATTGCAGTTAATTCAACTTCAATCCCATTATTTGTTGGTAAAGAGTAGCCCAAGAGTTGGCGGTGGGTGGTGTTGACTAGTTAGCTGCCTTCCTTCTAGTCTATTACTTCAAAATTAATACGGCTAGCGCAGATAGCCCTCTAGTAGCTGTGCTCGAAATTCGAGAAACAAACAAACGTTGGCAAATAACAAAGTCATAGTCTCACAAATAACTTGTTCCATAATTCGCTTAGAAAAATATGTTTATAAAGTTTATGGAGATAGTAAATACTGAGGTTAAAGTCACTCGTTTTTAAAAGTGTTGTAATTCACATATGTACCTCGTTGAGAACATAGTTTTAAACACAAG